ACTAAATGTCCTAAAATAAGAAAAATAGAAAAGAATATCTACTCTCACAACTTTTATTCTACTGGAATTTCAATCCAGGGCAACTGGGGAGGGGACAGGAAGGAAGGAATCCAGATTGGAAAGAAGGAAGTAAACCCTTCTCTATTCAGGGCAATATGACCCTGAATTCCTAATGAATCCACTAAAAACTGTGAGATGTAGTAAAGGAGTTCAGCAAGTTTGCAAGATATAGAATATACAGAAATCAATTGTATTTCTACTATTATACAGTTTAAATGAGTGAATTGTATGTGAATTATGTCTCAATAAAGTTGTTAAAAAATCTTTTGTATTTCTATACACTTGCAATGACCGTTCCAAAAATTAAGTTAAGAAAGCATTTCAATTCATGGTAGTATCAAAAAGAACAAAGTATTTAGGAATAGATTTAACAAAAGGAGTGCAAAATTAATATTGGAAAACTATAACACATCATTGAAAAAATCAAAGAAGATCTAAATAAACTGAAGACATCCCATGTTCATGAGTAGGAAGGTTTAATATTTTTTTAAACATTAAAAATTTTTTTTTCAACATTTATTCATTATTGAGAGACAGAGAGAGACAGAGCACGAGCATGGGAGGGGAAAAGAGAGGGGGAGACACAGAATCCAAAGCAGGCTCCAGGCTCTGAGCTGTCAGCACAGAGCCTGACGCCGGGCTCGAACCCACGAGCAGTGAGATCATGACCTGAGCCAAAGCTGGACCCTAACCAACTGAGCCACTCAGGTGCTCCTGAAGCTTTATATTTTTAAAATGACAACACGTGGGCACCTGGCTGGCTCAGTCAGTTGAGCATCTGACTTTGGCTCAGGTCACAACCTCATAGTTTATGGGTTCAAGCCCCATGTTGGGCTTTGTGCTGACAGAGCATAACCTGCTTGAGATTCCCTCCCTCTCTCTCTGCCCCTCCCCCACTTATGCTCTCTCTTTTTCTCTCAAAAATAAATAAACATTAAAAAAACTTTTTTTTTTTTTTTTTTAATAACACTCTCCAAATTGACCTACAGATTCAATGCAGTCTTTATCAAAGTCCAAGCGAGCTTCTGGATGGAAGTGGAGAAGCTGATCCTAATATTCATATGGAAATTTAAGCGACCAAGAATAGCTAAAACAGGGGTGCCTGGGTGGCTCAGTTGGTTAAGCGTCTGACTCTTGATTTCAGTTCAGGTCATGATCCCAGGGTTCATGGGATCAAGCTCCAAGACTTGGGCTTCATGGTGACAGGGAGCTTGGAGCCTGCTTGGGATTTTCTCCCTTCCTCTCTCTCTGCCCTTCCCCCTCTCATGCTCCCACTCTCTCTCTCTCTCTCAAAATAAATGAATAAACTTAAAAAAAGTATTGCGGGGCGCCTGGGTGGCTCAGTCGGTTAAGCGTCCGACTTCAGCTCAGGTCACGATCTCACGGTCTGTGAGTTCGAGCCCCGCGTCGGGCTCTGGGCTGATGGCTCAGAGCCTGGAGCCTGTTTCCGATTCTGTGTCTCCCTCTCTCTCTGCTCCTCACCCATTCATGCTCTGTCTCTCTCTGTCCCAAAAATAAATAAACGTTAAAAAAAAAAATAAAAAAAAAAAGTATTGCTAAAACAGTCTTGAAAAAGAATAATAAAGTTGGAGGACTCATGATTCTTTTCTTTTTTTTTAAGTTTATTTATTTATTTTGTAAGAGAGAGAGAGGTAGAGAAAGAGGGAGAATCTCAAGCAGGCTCTGCACTGTCCGTGCAGAGCCCATTTGGGGCTTGAACTCAAGAAACTGAGATCACGACCCAAGCTAAAATTAAGAGTTGGACACTCAATCAACTAAGCCACCCAGGCACCCCAGAGGACTCATGATTCTTAATTTCAAAACTTCCTACAAAGCTACACTAATCAAAACAGCATGGGAACCGGCATAAGAATAGGCATATAGATCAGTGGAGTAGAACTGAGAGTCTCAAAATAAACCCATATGTTTATGGTCAATTGATTTTTGACAAGGATGCTAAGATTATTTAATAGAAAACAGTTTCTACAACAAATGGTGCTGAGACAATTGGATATCCACACACAAATGAATGAAGTTGGACACTTTCCTCACACCATATACAAGAACGAACTCAAAATGGATAAGAGCTAAAACCATAAAATCCTTAGGGCGCCTGGATGGCGCAGTCAGTTAAGCGGCTGACTTTGGCTCAGGTCATGATCTTACGGTTTGTCGGTTCAAGCCCTGCTTCGGGCTCTGTGCTGACAGCTCAGAGCCTGAGCCTGCTTCAGATTCTGTGTCTCCCTCTCTGCCTCTCCCTGAATCCTGTTCTCTATCTCTCTCTCAAAAATAAATATTAAATAAATAAATAAAACCATAAAATCTTTTGAAGAAAACATAGAGGTAAATGTTCATGACCTTGGATTTGGAAATGGAGTTTTAGATATGACACCAAAAGCATCAACAACAAAAGAAAAAATAAATTTCTTAGCTCAGGCTGCTATAACAAAATATAGCCTGGGTGGTTTAAACAATGGAAATTTCTCACTTTTGGAGGCTGAAAGTCTGAGATCAGAGTGTCCGTGTTTCTGGTGAGGGGTCTATTTCTGGCTGCAGATGGCTGCATTCTCATGCATGTCCTTAGCAGCGTTATTCACAATAGTTAAAAGGTGGAAACAATCCAAATATCTATCAAGTAATAAATGGATAAATAAAATGTGGTGTATCCATACAATGGGATATTATTCAGCCATAAAAAAAAATGAAATACTCACGAACCATGAAAACATTATGTTAAGTGAAAGAAGCCAGTCATATAAGACCATAGTTTTAGGATTCCATTTACATGAAATGTCCAGACAAGTCTCTTGAGACAGAAAGTAGACTAGTGATCTCCAAGGACTAAAGACAGTAGAGGAATTGCAGGATGGTGGCCAAGGTTTCTTCTGGGTGTGATAAAGATGTTCCCAAATTAATTGCGATGGTTGCACAAGTCCATGAATAGACTAAAAGTCATTGAACTGTATGCTTTAAATCGGTGATGTGAAATAATAAAAACAATTATATATGTATATTAGTCTCTGCCCCTGGTCCCTGGCACAGGAACCTAATACCCTTATAATTTTCTAAGTTATCAGAGCACTAGGAACATCTTTTGTTCCAAGATTTGGTCTTTGAGGGATGCCTGGGTGACTCAGACGGTTGGGCGTCTGGCTCTTGCTTTTGGCTCAGGTCATGATCTCACAGTGTGAGTTCAAGCCCCGAGTTGGGCTCTGTGTTGACAGTATGGAGCCTGCTTGGAATTCTCCCTGTCTGTCTGTCCCTTCCCCACTCATGTTGTCTCTCTCTCAAATAAATAAATTAATTAAAAAAAAAAAAAAGATTTTCTCTTTGACCCTGATTCTTGACAAAATTTCCTGGGTGATAACAATGTCTTTTGTTCTAATGAGGTGACACTTGGTGGGTTCCTGGATGGGGGGCAGGGGGGCTGGTCATGGCTTGAAAGACCAAGCCATGATTAGAAGCTTGGAATTTTTAGCCCCACTGCCCATTCTCCAGAATGGGAAGAAGGGCTAGAAATGAAATCATGATGAAGCGTCCATAAATATCCTAATAGTATGGAGTTCCCAGAGCTTCTAGGTTGGTACATGCCTCTACATGTGGGGAGGGTGGCATACCCCAACTCTACAGGGACAGAAGCTCCCAAACTTGGGGGACTGCTGGACCTCGCCCAACATAGCTCTTAATTTGGCTGTTCATCTGTATCCTTTATCATATCCTTTATTTCATTTTTTTTTTCAACGTTTATTTATTTTTGGGACAGAGAGAGACAGAGCATGAACGGGGGAGGGGCAGAGAGAGGGAGACACAGAATCGGAAACAGGCTCCAGGCTCTGAGCCATCAGCCCAGAGCCCGACGCGGGGCTCAAACTCATGGACCGCGAGATCGTGACCTGGCTGAAGTCGGACGCTTAACCGACTGCGCCACCCAGGCGCCCCCTTTATTTCATTTTTTAAAAGTTTATTTATTCATTTTGAGAGAGAGAGAGTGTGGGTGCGTGTGTGTGTGTGAATGTGGTAGGGGCAGAGGGAGAGGGAGAGAGAATCCCAAGCATGTTCCGAACCCACAACCGTAAGATTACCACCTGAGCCAATATCAAGAGTTGGACGCTTAACCGACAGAGCCACCCAGGCACCCCATCATATCCTTTATTTTATTATAAACTGGTAAACTTAAGTGTTTCCCTGAGTTCTATGGGTTGTTCTAGCAAATGATAGAATCCAAGAGTGGGTGGGCAGGTCATGGGAACCTCTCATTTGTGGCCAAGTAGAACAGAGGTTGTGGGTAACCTGGGACCTACGACTTGCGATTGATGTTGAACTGAGACAGGGGTAATCTTTCTTTTCTTTCTTTCTTTTTTTTTTTTTATGAATAGACAGCATGTTTATTTCATTCTGTACATCCACCCTGTCTTTGTTTTAACAAATAAAACCACTATTGGTATTCCAAAACGTTACTGAGAGCAATAAAGAATTCCAGCTCCCACTTCTTGAATATCTGCTGCCATCTCAATGTATCACACAGATAAAAGGCTGATGCAAACCGAGCGTGGAGTTAGGCATGCACGAGGTGACTGTGAATTTCAGAGCAAGCTTTCGATTTTGATCTACAGGTTTTCTTTTTCTTTTTTTTTTTTTTTTAAATTTTTTCAACGTTTTTATTTATTTGTGGGACAGAGAGAGACAGAGCATGAACGGGGGAGGGTCAGAGAGAGAGGGAGACACAGAATCGGAAACAGGCTCCAGGCTCTGAGCCATCAGCCCAGAGCCTGATGCGGGGCTCGAACTCACGGACCGCGAGATCGTGACCTGGCTGAAGTCGGACGCTTAACCGACTGCGCCACCCAGGCGCCCCTGATCTACAGGTTTTCAATTCTTTGTCTCCTTGTTGGCGACCCTTCTGCAAATGACGGGAGTTGGTATCCTCATCCATTTCAAAGGTATTCCAGTCTGGACTCCCGAAAGGCAGCCTGCCCACTGGCTGCGGTTATTTCCTCAAAGTACAGATCCAGGTGTCATTGAAAGCTGAGCTGCAGCGCATCCTGAGGAGAGTTTTCCAGTTTTCCTTCCTGGTATTTGCCATTTAGCTTACTGCGTAGTCAGTGCTAAATGTTTCGCCATCATCCGCTTTAAGTAAAGCATAAGCCAGCACGGCGCTCCGGAAGATTACCGCTCCGCAGTGCTGGAAGGCTCCTTCCCAGTGTTGGTGTTTATATCAACCTACTTTATATTAAGAGTAACTGACCTAACAGGTGACGGTGAAGACATGGTGTATGTACCTGTGGCCGACTCAATATCAGGATTCTACATGTAGTATTTTCTAGGCCTTCAATTTGACATCGAGCCTGTAATTTGGTAGAAAGGATTTTTCATTTCCTTAACTCTCAAGGCATCGCTGAAAGGTAAGGCTGCTACCTGCGAAGGCAGTCTTCTTTTTTTTTTTTTTTTTTTTTTTTTTTTTTTTTTTTTTTTTTTACTGCTGGTGAAAACCCAGCTGTGTTGAGGGCGTCACTGGCACGGGTTAATATGTGATCTCGACATTGTAATGCTCATATGAGAACACCTTGTTCTATATCAACAAACCTATTCACTACTTCCTCCATACACCTGTTCACACTAGAGGCAGGGGTAATTTTTTTTTTCCCTTAATGAACCACATTTATTAAAAATGACTAAGACTGTACATAAAAATCCAAGATCTCTAAAAAGCCTACGGGAGCTGTGGCATCGGATTTTAGTTTCTTGACATTACTGAGTTGGGGTGGGGGGGACGGCAAGAGGGCGAAATCGTTTTCCTTAAACACGTTTCAAGTTAGTACAGGGTAGCTGAATACATTCTTAACTATCTAAGAAGCAAACAGAATATTCCCAAACATCAGGAATGATGAGAGAACCAATCCCCCTGCCCCTGCAACTGTTATCAGGTGATCTGGAAATTCTTTACAAAGCCAAAGCACCAATCGTGCATAATCTCAGACACGTATGTAGACTATTTGTACAATATATCCCACGTCATCCTATGGTGTATCCAACCACACACAAAACTATACACGGTAAAATTCTCTCTTTTTTTCTTTTTTGGCGACTCCCTGGCGCCTGTCCTCTCCTGAGCCCTACTGGCCACCCCGGCACGCAGCAGAGGCCTGGCAGGTGAGGCAATCCTGAACTAGGGGCAAACGCGGCTTGTGTCCAAAGCCTAGGAAGAATCCAAGTCAGGTAAAACCAGCACCTTCAGGGAAGTTTCTCCTAGGCGTAGCATCTTTTGTCCCCTGCAGAAAGTAACAGCAAAAAGTCCCCTGTTGAAGCTTAAGGGAGGCAGGGGTAATCTTGTGGGACCGAGTTTTTACCTGTGGGGCCTGGTTAGTGTCAGAAATGAACTCCATGGTAGGACCCCCAGCTGATGTTACTGAGAATTGCTTGGTGGGAAGATCCCCAAACATCTTGTGTCAGAAGTATTGTGAGTTCGGTAGTGGTGTAAGGGTGAAGGGGAAACACACTGGAATGAAAGCGTGGTGGGTTTTGGTTTTTTTTTCCTACTTCGGTGAATTGCAGGGTGTGTGAATTATATCTCAGTAAAGCTGTTACAAATAACCTTGTTATAATTGCTCCTACTTAGAGATATGAAAGTAGGGAGGGCAATCATGAATGTGTCCAACTGGCCCTTTCATATGTATTATAGACCCGCACCCCTGGACTCCCTTCCTCCACCAAATTTTACTTGGTCTATTTCAGCAACTAACCACCCTTAAGTTACCTCATGGTACTGCTGTCTGCCAGCCAACCGTTTCAGTTGAGCCGCGTTGCCATCTAAATATGGCAATGTTTGTGTAATCACTTGAACGTCTCGTTGCATATTTGCCCTTGTTTATCAAAGGAGAATGGAAAATGGAAAAATCAAGTGCTGATGTTAGTGATTTTGCATTTGAGACAAAGGAAGATACCATCTGGTAGGTCAAAAACAGTCAATTTGACGCTTGTTGAATTTAAGCAAGCCTGTCAACTGTATTCAATTTACTAAGGAAAACAGCACAATTTAAAACACGTGTACAAAATGCTGTACCTCCATTGCCCAAGTTCGTGGCTAACAGGTAGGGTGAAGTGGTAACAGCAAAATGTGGAGACCTTTACAATTATGTTCATTAGATATTAGAATATTATTTTGATATACTGTTTTGTTTTTCTGATAATTTACTTTTTCTTTTTTCTCAGTGGTCCCTCCCCCTGTTCCAAATAGACTTCTTGGCAGCCATGCCTCAGGGAAGGGTTGTTACAGCATAGTGAAGATACCAAAAGAAGTCAATCCCTGGCCTTTGAGGTTTAAAATATGTTTTAGAAACCCAAGGCAGAGATTAAACTTTTGTGATAAGAAGCTTTTGAACTTCAAAAGCCAGAACCATCAATAACCCAGGGCATAAACTGATGCCATAACCACAGGCATATAAGAATATATGATCAGTCAGAGCCAGTTTTTCCAGAGCTTTTCTTTTTCTCAAAGAGTAGATAAAAGTTCCCTGAGCTTGTAAGGAGAAGAAAGAGCAGATGGGAGTTTACAAGCTGGTGAGCGCCTAGGAAGGAATCCTGTGGCCCAGTCTCTAGAGCTGTATCTTTCGAGGTATAGGAGCCGTTGAGAAGAAACGGCCTTATGGCTGGACCAGGCTGAGAGAGCCCGAGGCAACTTTCCTTGAGAGGCAGAGAGTCATGGCAGAGTGGGTGGTGCCCCCTGAGAGGGAAGGAGTAACGGAGTTCAGAGAGGCCTTCTTTTTCAGACATGGAGTCATGACCACGATCATCATGGTCCGGCAGCTGGACACCAAACGGGAATAGGATGTCTTAGGAAATGCCAGCTCGGACTGACGTGACAGAGGACCAGGAGACATCCCAGTCTATTCCAACTGTCCTCACTGGCACTCTCCAACCCCTGAGAAAGGGAAGGAGTGTGTACATGGGTGAACGTTGCGGAGAGGGGTGCTCGTAAACTGATCAGCATTGCCCAGATTTGACAGACAGGATGTGTTCACCATCGGGCAGATGAGTAGCTCCAAAGACAACTTGCCAAGGGGGGGGGGGGGAAATAAAAAAGTCACGCTTCTTGTACAGGTGAGTTCGGGGCCTTACATAAGCACCTATTATAACCGGGCTGAGAATCGGCACCAGCCAGCCTCACAGAGGGAACTTCACAGTCCCAGCCAGCTGTTTGCAACGATTTAGTGTGTTACAGGCTTCTTTTTCAAGGGGGAGACCAGCAGTGTTTAAATCCTCTCTTTACAAATTATTCAAGAGCATTGAAAAGACATTCGACAGTTACACAAGGTCCTGCTCTATCATTTGCATAATTACTACTAGCATATCTTTGTATCCAACATCAAAGTTAAATTTTCTCCTTACCGAATATCGTTTTAGGTCAACTGGATTGAACAAGGACTTTTGAGTTGCAGAGTTACACCAGAAAATTGAATTTGATTGTCAGCATTTAAATATAATCTATTTTCGATACTTTAAATATTCATATATACAGTGCATAACATTCAGACATAAAATCAAATTAAGCAATTATATCATACTTGAGACTTTATAATTCTTTGTTGCTCTCTGAGTTGTATCCCTTCCCCTCTTCCTTTCCTTCCAAACAAATAAAACATGTTAAGTATAAAGTTCAAATTTCAGGCATTCCACTTTCCAAAACACGTTCCAGGAAAGCCTTTCCAGGAAAGGCAAAGATTGGCTGAATGGGGAAATAACTTTCCTATTCACTCCCCAACCCAGCATATCTAAATAAAAAAAGGTCAAGCGACTGAATGAATCTTCCAATAGTTTATCTATCTGTATCGTGGATTTGGCCCATCCAATTGCAATATGAATTAGAAATGGCTGGGGCGCCTGGGTGGCTCAGTCGGTTGAGCGTCCGACTTCAGCTCAGGTCATGATCTCACAGCTTGTGAGTTCGAGCCCTGCGTCGGGCTCTGTGCTGACAGCTCAGAGCCTGGAGCCTGCTTTGGATTCTGTGTCTCCCTCTCTCTCTGTCCCAACCCACTCGCATTCTGTCTCTGTCTCTCTCAAAAATAAATAAACATTAAAAAAAAAGAAAAAGAAATGGAAAAATTCACTGGAGTCAGTTCATTTACTACCTTGAGCCAAAGGCATGGAAAAGTGGAAATAGGGGTGGATCTTGAGTGTACATATCAGGTTTTGGTTTCAGCTCTTTGTCATTTTATGTATTCGTCTTTGTACTTATATATATTTTAAAATATTTAAAATTGAATTCAAACTGTGTATTTTTTAAATGTTACTAAATTGTAAAATACATCATGCATGCAAATGTGTTGTAAAACCTATACCGTTTGAAGAATATCGCTAAAATAAACACTCGTGTGTGTACCATCTACCTTAGAAATAGACTGTTACAAGTATCTTTAAGATGCTTACGAATCATCTGGGGATCATGTTGAAATGCAGATTCAGATTCTGTACATGTGGGGAAGAGCCTGAGAGTTTGCATTCGTAACCAGCTCCCAGACAAGGCCGGTATCGGGGGTGCACAGATCGCACGCTGAGTAGCGTGATCCAGGAAGGCTCCCATGAGTCTCTCCCTAATATCACCCCTGTTTACCCCCCTACGAGAAGCACTGTCTCAAATCTTCTGTCAATCACTCTTTGCTTTATTTTAAATAGTTTTACCATCTGTGAATGCATTTCTAAACATTATAATTGTTTAGTTTTGCCTGTTTTAAAATTTTATACAAATGGAAAAATACTGTGTGCATCCTTCTGTTACTTCTTTCTGTCTTGATTTCACTCAAGCTTATGTTTTTTTTTTTTTTAATTTTTTTTTGACGTTTATTTATTTTTGAGACAGAGAGAGACAGAGCATGAACAGGGGAGGGGCAGAGAGAGAGGGAGACACAGAATCTGAGAGGGGCTCCAGGCTCTGAGCTGTCAGCACAGAGCCCGACGCTCTGTCTGAGCACAGGGCTTGGACTCACAGACCGTGAGATCATGACCTGAGCCGAAGTCGGACGCCCAACCGACTAAGCCACCCAGGCTCCCCTCAAGCTTATGTTTTAGAGACACATTCATGTTGGTGCACGGA